CTGGCGCGGGCGATGGCCCCGGGGGGGGCGGGGGGAGAGAAGACCCGGCGTCCGCCCGCCCGCCCCGCCCCAGCCACCATGGCTGTCAGTCATCTCGGGTCGACCCCGGGCAGCGTCTCGGAGGTCGCTTTCATTTTAACAGGCGGGGAAATTGAGGCACGGGGAGGGTCTCTCAAGGTCACGCGGCGCAACCGCAGCGGGGCGTAGAGTGGCCGGGTGCCCCCATCGGGTGCCTTTCCTCGCGCAGGGGAGGACTGGAGGGGCGAAGGGTGGACAGGTGGATGGGTGGAGCCCCGGCCGCGGGGCCCGAGGCCTCGGGCCCTGCATCTTAATCCGTTTCTCCTCCTTAGGTCGGCTACCGCTGCCACCGTCCCGCCTGCCGCCCCGGCCGGCGAGGGTGGCCCCCCTGCACCCCCTCCTAATCTTACCAGTAACAGGAGACTGCAGCAGACCCAGGCCCAGGTGGATGAGGTGAGTGTGTGTGTGTGTGTGTGTGTGTCAAAGGTGCAAGACGAGAGGTGTGGGAGCCCATCTTTTACGCTTGTGGGTTTTGGGTCCGAGACCCGCCGAGCCCCATCTCTGGTTCCCTGTCAGCATGCACTTGGAAGGGCTCTGGGGTGGTGATCAGTTGTGCTAGCCTGGGGTGTGCCAGCTGGGACCGGTGTGCTCTCGCCATGGGCTGATCCAGTGCCTATAGAGAGGGTGCTGCTGTGGCATCTGAGGTGTATGGCTGCAGCATGCCCCTGATGTGTGCTCCTTGCATGTCCCCCAGGTGTGCTAGGCATGTTCTGTGTATGTCCTTGGCATGTTAGCCTGGAGACATCGGGGTGCATGTTCCATGTGTGGCACAATGGGCCCATGTTCAAGAAGTGCCCTCCTTGAGGCGTGCCTTGGCACACCCCCTGCCTCGTGGACCCCTCCCCCAGGTGGTGGACATCATGAGGGTGAATGTGGACAAGGTCCTGGAGCGGGACCAGAAGCTATCAGAGCTGGATGATCGTGCAGACGCCCTCCAGGCAGGGGCCTCCCAGTTCGAAACAAGTGCAGCCAAGCTCAAGCGTAAATACTGGTGGAAAAACCTCAAGGTAAGGGGAAGGAGATGGGGACAGGCAGGAGGGCTGATGGGTGGCTGGGGGCCACCACTCGGCTCATTGACCCTCCCTCTCGCTCCTAGATGATGATAATCTTGGGAGTGATTTGCGCCATCATCCTCATCATCATCATCGGTGAGTGGGGCACGAGTGGCCAGGGCCCTTTCCCTGGAGAGGTAGAGGTTTTCCCCGTGGATTCTGGGTTTTGAAGGTCATTAACCTAGTTTTCACTCTTCAGCGAAAACACATTTTGCTGCTATTGGCAGTTCTGATTTCATGTAGAGCCAAGACGCTTGGCTGTTGTATAGCCTGACTTTGCCTGGTTCCGGGTAATTTCTGTTAAGATTTTTGAATACAGGACTACTGGGTGGGTCTCTGGCGCTCCACTAAAAACCCTTCGGGCCTAAGAGCCCAGTCTGGGGTCCTAGAACTGGGGGACAGTAAGGGTCGAGGGGCTTGGACGTGACCAGGAAACCAACTACCCCACTGGTTGAGGGTTTGTAGCCAAATGCCCAGTGGATGAAAGGTTTTGTGCCCCTTTGTCCTATCGCGGAGTTTACGGGTCATAATGCCCACTTGTCAAGTCCCTTTGTTCTCTAGATGAAGAAACTGAGGCTGAGGAGGGTTATCAGCCAGCTGGGGGTGGGGGGTTTGGAGCAGGGCCGGGCCTGACATGCCGCTTTCTTTCTCTTTCTGCCCTCCCTCCGCCTCCTCTTTCCCTCTCTCCACAGTTTACTTCAGCACTTAAATCCCTGAGGAGTCTGCCCTGCCTAAGAAGGGCCTCTCTCCCACCCCCAGCCGTCCCTCCACCTCTCAGCCATATCTTTCAGCCCCCCCTCCCTCGGATCCGTGTGTGTGTGTCCGTGTGTGTGCCCCCTGTAAATAGCCAGCTGTTCTTTATACATATATAATATTATATATATTTGGTCTGTTTGTAGTTTTATTACTAGAAGATTTTTTCCGGTTGTCCTTAACACCCCTCCTGAGGTTCCTCTCACCTCTCTCTCTCACCCTCTGCCCCTTTCCTCCTTCCCTGACAGCCCCAAGTCCCCCCATTTGCATCCGCTATGCAATAGCCCCTTCCTCCTCCCTTGGATTGAACTGATCCGTCCCCTAGCTTCCCTGGACAATTCCTGACCCTCCAAACAAAAAGCAAACTCCGCAGAAACAAACCACAAACACTCCACCTGTCCAGGCCGTCCTAGGTTACATCTTTGTATCCCTTGGAAGGCTCTGAGACTGGTCCCACTTGGTCCTAAGAATCCCAAGGTTTTCTGGGAGCTTCCAACATTAATTAGCATATCATTTGCATACCAACGTGTTTTCCGTTTCCTTCCTTTTTGTTCCATCTCTTCACTCTTCTGTGTTTTCCTTTCTTTTCTGAAGAGTTAGTCTCCATTGGTCCTCTTATCACATTTCATTTGCACGACATTACCTGCAGGTGGTGGGGAGCCGGGCTTTTGGGGAACCAGGCTGCTCTGGGCCCCAGAATTGCCCCCTCCCAGCCCTCTAGTCTAGTTGACCTCCCTTACCCTGTTTTCCAGACCTCCTGCCCCTCCTCTCCCCCCCCAGCTGGTGTGTAAGTGTCTTGGAGTTCAGTGTGTTATGATGGACCAATAATTCTGCCACTCGGGGTCTCTCCCTACATTCCTGCTCCCCAGTTTTCATGTGGGGCACTCAACTGACATTCCCAGGGGGTCTCCCTCCCTCCCATCTGCCTGATCTGCCTCCTCCTCCCACCAGGAGGAGCGGGGGCTGACCACAATCTGACTCTTGGAGGAGGGTGGCTCCAGTGTGTGTGTGTGTCATCACTGCCTTGGGGAGAGTAGAACAAGACAGAATCCTCCCAATTCCTGCCTGAAACCTCTGGCCTGATCCTTGCTAGAGGTTGGACTGAAAACTTTCCTCCCCAATCTGGGGGTGGGGTGTTGCCCCCCATCACTGCCCAGCTCCTCAGACTGCCCCCCTGTATTCAGGGTGGGGGTACTAGTCACTGCCAATATGTGTATGGGACTTGCTGGATGATGGGGATCCTCGCCTTTCTCCAGGGCTGTTGAGCCCAGAAAGAGAGGGGGAGAGAGAGAAAGAGAGAGAGACTGCAAGCTATTCCCTTTTTGGGTGAAATAATAGAAGAAGGATCTAACCTTTTTAAATGGCACAGTTTTAAGGGTCTGAGGGTACAGCCCCTTAGCCTGCCACTGGGGGGGGGTGTCCCCAAACTCTCCCCCCCCACACCAGGTTTTCTGTGTGGAGGGGAACCAAGGAGATCTAAACTGTGGTGTGAAAGGGTAGGAGAGATGCTGGGGGTGGGGGTGCTTGTGTTCTAGACCCCCAATATTATCCCAGTGTCCCCTGCCTTCCTTCTTCCCCTACCCCATGCCCCCAATTCTGTGGCGCATCCAGATTGTGAAAATGTACAATAAACGTGTAATGAGTAACCAGGTGGTGTCTACAATCTTTTTCTTAACCAGTAGTAAGAGTATTGGATCTTCAGATATAATGAGTGGTTGACAAGATTCATCGGGAGGAGCTGGCCTGTTGCTGGAGGCCCTGACCCCAGCTGGGCCCTTGCAAAGTGTAATTCCCAAAGTGGCCATGTGGGGCACCAGGAGATTAGAAAGAGCCAGTGAGCTCTACAGCCTGGGGTTCCCAGCTCCTCATCTCCCTGGCCTGGAGTATGATGCTACCTGCCACTGCACTCCTTTATCTCGAAGTTTCACTTCTGGCTACCCCTTCGGCTCTTCCACAGCCGTCCACTCCTGGGCCGCTTCTGTGGGAGCGATTCTTCCCCTTTCCAGCACAGCGCCAGACAGCCAGATGGGCTAATGAATGACTGAAAGGATCAGCTTGATGAGACAAAGCCCACGGGCATAAAGCTGGCTGTAGATGGCATTCTGCCCTTGCACTCGGTTGTGGGGTTGCCACTTCCGCCCCCCTCTTGAACTCTCAAAGCGCTGTACGTAAACCTGTCACCATGCATACACTTCAGGAGCATCACCGAGATGTAGCCGTGGAGGGAAGAGGCAGTGTGTCCGGTCGCCCTCTGTATTCAGAGTATGAGGGTCTAGACACGGCCAGTGTGTGTAGCACTTGCTGGGCGGTGGCGATCCTTGCCTCTCCAGGGCAGCTGAACCTAGAGAGAGAAAAGTGAGTGGCCAAGAACCACTAGAGGGCCAGGTGTGGTGCAGGCTTTTAATCAAGCATGCAGGAGGCAGAGGCAGACTGATTTCTGCGTTTGAGGCCAGCCTGGTCTACATAGTGAGACCCTTGTCTAAAAAAATAAAATATATATTTTTTGAGACAAGGGTCTCACTATGTAGCTCTGACTGTCCTAGAATTCATTATGTAGACCAGGCTGGCCTCAAAGTCACAGAGATCCAAGTGCCTCTCTGCCTCCCTGGTGCTAAGATTAAAGGCGTGTGCCATCACACCTAGCCAAGAAATAAGGACTACTAGAGGTACTTTTAAAAATAGAATTTTCAGGCCCTTACATTGGAGATTATTTCAGAGGCTTTATGGTGCCCAGGTGTCTTGTATTTAGCCATACTCTGTTCTAACTTCTATCTTTATGGAGAGTTTAAATATGTCAGGCTTTTTACATTTAATCCTTGAAATTGCTTCTAGGTTTAAGGTTTCCATAGGCCCTAAGACACCGATATACCTTCACGGTGTCGGAGCTCTTTAATCAACATGTTAACATGGGAATTCTGACAGATTATGTAACCCTGGCTCTCAGTCTCTGTGAGGTTATGGGTAGTGAGCCGGCCTTCTTGGAGTCTGCAGGAAGTGTCTGGCACAGAAAACAGGAGGAGACAGTCATTTTCACTATCGTCGCCATGCGATCTAAAGACCTCTTTAACACTCAGACTTAAGCTTTGGGGATAATCAGAGACACAAAACTCGGGCGCCAGGAGCCTCTTGTCATGGCAGGGTCTCTGCTAAGTATCCCCACTACGCCATAGCCTGTCACATCTACGCCTGCGTACAAGTCGCTTGGTACGCCTGCGCAGACTCCACAGTCTTGGGTAAGTGTCGTCAAGGAAAATCCCCAGCTTCTCGGTAAACAAGTTGCCGCGTGAGCCGGCCTGCACGTGTTCCCTACAGCTCCGCGACCTCAGCCTATGAGAAAGTTTTTAGGGCAGGGCTGGCATTTGCGTCACCGATTTAGGCAGGGCGGGGTTGTTGCCACAGCCAATAAAAGCTTTGGGAGTGGGCGAGGGGTGTGGCTTCCGGTTAGATGTCCAATCAACGCGCTGGGGCGCCCCCTCCCTCACGTGGCTCTATCACTACCGGTTGTCACGTTGTCCAATGGGAAAATGACTGCTCTCTGAAGTGCCAATGGCGGCTTTGCAGGGGCTTGTCGGCTGCACGTTGAGCGGGGCATGGGTTAGCGCCTCTAAGCCAATAAGCTTGGGAGGCGTGACAGAATGGGCAGTGGGAGGGCCTGGAGGAGCCTGTGGAGTAGCTGCCCAACGTCCCCAGTAGTGAAGAAATTTGGATTCTGCGTGCGCTTGCAACCGTGAGTAGCCCCCTACTCCCGGGCGATCGAAATGTGTTTTTCCGGGGAGGTGTGCCCGGCCAAAAGGGGTGTCAATGGCGTGGTGTGGGATCATGCAAATGTGTGAGAACTGCAGTAGGAGTGCTTGATGGTTGTGGACGGCAGACTCAGCTCTAGGGGAGCATGGATCGGAGTTACCAGCTTCAGATCGCTCACCTCTCTAGGGTCCCTGGACCCTGTTGCCTAGCGCGGAGTGCTCAGAAGCCCTCAGCCACCCGAGGGAGCTGAAGCCTGAGAGCTGGTTAAGGTTTGGGTAGGCTCCCAAGGCACTTGGAAGAGGCAGAGAGTCTGAGCCTAGAGAAAGGCCCTGGGAGGGCAGGTAGGAACGTGACATGGTGATCTGAGAAAGGTTAGTGTGCTGATTTGTGTGACCCGGAGGCTGTCCCATCACGACTATGGATTACTTTTTCACGTGAAAAGGATAGCATTGTGGTCTCAGGGACATGCTTGTAAAGAGAAATGGGCTAGCAATTTGTTGGATTCTGAAAGGGAGGATAGGGTAGAGGGTTGCGGGAGGGGAGGAGCCGCCAAAAGGCTGCTCTGATGTCTAGACAGTCAGGCCTGGGTGGAGGTGGGAGAGGGAGGAAGAAGGTTCCTAGGAAAGCATTGTGGCTGGAGACTTCTCTGATGATCTCAAGAGTTTTTGATCATAGAAAAAATGAACCATGGTGATGTGTGGAGTAAAAACGATGCCTTGAGATCAGGCTGAATCTTGAGATGCAGCTTGTGTTCTAGGCACCAAACTTAGAACCAGGGGAGTATTTGAGAGGTCCTGTTTTGATGGTGCTGGAATGCAGAGTAGAGGTTTGGTAACACTTACAGGGTCCCTGAGCATGAGAAGCCAGAACCAGCCATCCTCAGAGTCCAAATCTTGGGCTTCATTATTAGGAAGCTGAGAACATGTTTATGAAGCAGACAATTAGGCAAGTTTAGTAACTACTTAAGTCTTAGGTGTCCCTCATGAAATGAGGGTGATATCTATCATCGGTTTTGGGGGCTTAAGCAAGAATAGTATATGTGAAATACTTAGCACATGTCATTTAAAACACAAACTATAAGGTAACAAAATGTAGTGATGGAGTTAGGGGTTTCTGTGAATGTTGTGGCTCGGAACAACCTTCATCTTCTGTTTTTCTGCAAGTTTTGATGACTCCTCTTTTCCCTCTTCCTGATTTTTCTGGCCTGCAGGCACCAGCCCAAATTCCATCATTCCTCCCCTGTATTCCTCTCCCAAGATCTGGGCTCCAGACTGGGCCGACTTGTTCTGTCCCAGTTTCTCCCCGACCCCCCCCCCCATCTATTCTGTGCTGTAATAGTAACTAGAAATTCCGCCTCTGAAGGGGGCCTCTGGGAAGGAGCAAAGCTGCGCCTTCCCTCTCCGAGCCTGGGCCTCCAGTTTACCCGCGGTGGCTCTTTGGTACCGGGCCAGCGGCTGTGTGCAGTTTGGTTACAGGGAAAAGCCAATGCCAGGAGCTGTGACAACCAGCTCGGGGCCCACAAACCCAAGTCCCGAAAGGAGAGCCAGCCATGGGGGCAGGGAAGGGGGACCCCTTCCTTCTAACCGTCTCTCCAGGAATCCTTGGCTTTTGTACAGGACGGCTGTCGGTGGGTTGGGGGAGGCGCCAAGTCTGAGTGCATGTCCTGGGCCACCAGCCAAGAGAACACGATGTTCCCTAGTGCGCTGGCCGCCGCCCTCTGGGGCTGGCTGCCTCCCAAACCGCTGCCTCTCCAGCCTCCCTGCCCCACATTCCCCAGCTGCCTCGCCCCGCCTCCTTCCTCCGCTTTGACGTCACCACTGTCTCCCGCCCCCTCTTCTCCATTGACGGCAGCAGAGCCCGGTTACTGTGGGGACCGTGAGGCCTGACAGCCTGGGCCTTGGGATCGGGTGGGGGCTGTGGGAGTGCTGAAGTCACCCTTTGTCTGTGTAAATGGCAGGTGCGGAGGTGGGCGAGCAAAGGCTGTTTGGGTCAGAGGAATCACACCTGAGTCCTCGAGAGCTGTGGAGGGAGAAAGGGGTCTGGAAAACACAAAGAGTGAACAGGGTCACACACAGTACCAGGGGGGCGGGCAGGAAAGCAGGATCGTTTTCAGGAAGAGGAAGCCGGGGATTCAGGCGCCCATGTCTTTTGTTTTCCGTTTTCCTGCTTCTGTTTTTCTGGGTTACTTTATAACGCTTCTGTGTCCCAGCTTTTCTACAGCTCCCTGCCCCTCCGCCCCCTCCAGGGCAAACACTATTGTTAAGGAAAGCTTTAGCCACGTGACAGCGAGGGGCGTGCACTTAGCCTGATTATGTCAGCACCTGCTCGGTGGCCTCCTCACCTGCCACCTACGTTTCCAGGGAACCCCGAGAAGAACTACTCAGCACAGGTCTGGATAGAGGGGTTACAGCTCTCCTGAACCCAGACTGGCACGTCATCCCCCCCCAAATCAAGCCCCTGTTCTCTTTTTATGAATCAGTGCTCCACTTTTCCTCTTTAAATTGTAATTTGTTGCGTCCTCTCCTCCCGGGGCTCCCTCTCCCTTACCTATCCTTGACAGACACAAAACCATCACGTTTCACCGTCAGTCTGCTGTGGGTCCAGTCCTGACAGACTGACTTCATGGCTGCTGAGAGGACAGTAAATGAGACGCTGCTGCTGCTCCAACTTTACCTTTCTTTTTCTAAGCAGCAGGGGTATAAAACCCTCGCCACCCCACGTTTTCCTGCCTAGGGCCTCACCTGCCCTCTCTGCTGCCCCCTTTGCAGTCCTGGTTTCCCGGCCCCCACTTTGGGGGCAGCCCTAAATGTGGGTGGCTGCATCCTCTGCAGAGAGGCAGAGCTAGTCACCAAGTAGGCTGCCTGGAGACCTTTTCCCTGATTGGCCATCGAAGCACCTGCTTTTGTTTCCTTTCATAGCGCCATTGGCTCTCGCCGCCCTTTCCAGTATCCGTGTCCCCCCACCCCCCACTCACCCCTTCATGACACGTGGACCCTCGGTTGCCCTTCTCCTGGGATCTGAAGTGTCAGAGGAAAGGACTAGTTTCTTTACGACAAGGTTGAGGAGAAGCCAGGGAATATCAGTCTAGGCTTTTCTCTCTCCCACTTCCCATGGCTAGCTCCCCGACAGGTGTCTTGTTCTGCTAGGCTGCTCAGTTCAGGAAGGAGGGTTCTCTTGAGCACCCACCGTGGCTCAGACGTTTTCCCTGAGAAGGGGTGCCCCCCCCCCCCCGCTTCCCTTCTCTTTCATCATTCACTGTGCGAGGCACCCGGAGCCCATTGGTTGCCTGAGCGGTGTCAGAGGCCCTTCAGCCCAGCACCAGCACCCAAGTCCACGTGCAAGGATGTGTGTGACACAGCCCTGACCTCAGTGGGAGCCAGTAGCCAATCAGGTGCCAGGGAGAGATCCTTCGCCAGCTGGGGGCGGGGCCCGCGGCTCTGCGGGCAGGAGGCCAATGAGGGGCAGGGCCTGGCATTATGCAACCCGCCTCCCAGCCTCTCGGAGCTTCTCGGTTGCGGGCTGAAACGGCAGGCGGCTGGAGGGCGCTCGAACGGCCAGGTAGGGATCTCTGCTGCAATCCGAGGGCTAGTCTTTCTCCCGGAGCTTGGTCACCACTACTTCCAGTGTGACGGGTCACTTTGAGCTCTGGTGCTTGGACAGCAAAACAGTAATCCGCCTTTTTTTTTTTTCACTGTCCACCCCTTCCCCGCCCCTGGGGCCCTAGGTGTTCAATTCAACCCTTCACGGGCTGTCTGCATTTCTTATTCGCTCACCTTGCCTCCTGCCCCTGCTTCTCCGGCGCAGCCATCCTGAGCCCGACAACAGACCTTTAGCGAACATGGCCTCTGCCCCTTCCTTGTCACTTCGGGGGTCCTCGGGTTTACCCCGGCACAAAGACCCCTTCAGGTTTTTGCAGTCTCTCTCTGCCTTCCTCTCTCCAATTCCTGGCCCCTTGCCGGTCGTGATGTCAGCCGCTTCATGCTGGAACATCCTGTTCCCAGCGCTAGTTCTTGCTGTTGGCCGCAGCCTTCCCTTTTCTCCGGGTGCTCGGAAAATACTTGGGATGGGGGTGTGGTTAGACAAGGAGCAGAGGAAGAACTGTGTGTTGGTGGTTGTGTGTCCCCGACCGAAGGCATTGATGCGGTGGTAGGGTTAACTAGGAAAGGAGGGGACTGGGAAAGATGCCTGGGTCCTTCTCTGTGGCAAGTGGTAATCGCAGTCCTGATGTTTGGGAGCCGGCAGGGGTCCGAGAAAGAAAAGCAGTGTCTTGATCAGAAGGATGGAGCTAGGATGGGGGCGTTTCCACAGAGAGCAGAGGCCGTGTACTTCTCCCTGGGGAGGCTAGGACCTGTTTCTGGAGTCCCTATAGTTCATCTCTTCACATGGCTCCCTGGGCCCTGGGAATTTGTTAAGGTGGGTGACCCCCGGGCCTTGCTGGCCATTATAGGGGTGGTCTGGCCAGTGTGGGAGTGGGTCCGTTTTCCACTTACACAGCAATAGGGGTTGGGGGAGGGGTCGTTCCTGCCCTCCTGTGGTCCCTCCAGCAACCGCTGAGCTCAGCGGCTGACGTCGGTTTCCCTGGCGACCGTAGCTGTGGCGGAAGCGCGTGGTGGGGCCAGGCACATCGACGCGCATGTGCAGCGGGGGTGGCACCGCCCCCGGATAAAATTAGCCCGGAAGCCTAAATATAGGAGGCGATCCGCTCACCCCCTGCTCCGAGAGGCCTCAGAGTCCCAGACCAAGTCGGGACCTCATGAGAATGTGGGGATAGAAAACCTGCAAGCGTTATCCCACAGCCATAGTTGTAGTTAATTGTTCAGGCTGTGCCCACTCCACTCTGGCAGGGGGCGTAAGAGAAAGCCCAAGAGAGCTGCCTTCCTACCCGTGGTATCCTTAGGGGGAACGGAAGCAACTTAGTTTTCTATTGCAAGCCCCAGGCCTGAATCCCATCAGCGAGGGACTGGCAGAGGAAGGACTGAATGTGGCCAGTAGATGCTGTGGGGTTAACGGCTCAGCCTTGCTAAAACCTTCCTTCTTGGTTTCTTTTTCTAGGTGCTGTGATTAAATTAGCCAGCCCTCAGGGACAGGGCTCCCTCCCTTATCCAGGCCTCAGAAGCCCCGTTGTGCACCCGTGGTGGCCTCTTCACCTTCTCTGTTCTGTTCTCCACTGCATGGCCCAGACATGAGTGGCCCCCTAGAAGGGGCTGATGGGGGAGGAGACCCCAGGCCCGGAGAACCTTTTTGTCCTGGAGGAGTCCCATCCCCTGGGGCCCCACAGCACCGGCCTTGTCCGGGCCGCAGCCTGGCTGATGATACCGATGCCAACAGCAACGGTTCAAGCGGCAATGAATCCAACGGCCACGAGTCCAGGGGTGCATCCCAGCGGAGTTCCCACAGCTCCTCCTCTGGCAATGGCAAGGACTCAGCCCTGCTGGAGACCACCGAGAGCAGCAAGAGGTGTGTGTGTGCGCATGTAGGTGTGCGCGTGCCTGCGCAGAGTCTGGAGAGCTAGGTGATAGCATGGCACTGTTGACCCTCACCTGGGCCTCTTGCTTCTTTTCTAGTACAAACTCTCAGAGCCCATCCCCACCCAGCAGTTCCATTGCCTATAGTCTCCTGAGTGCAAGCTCGGAGCAGGACAACCCATCTACCAGTGGCTGCAGGTACTGTGTGGCGCGAGGGCTGGGGGACCCGATGCCTGGGGACTGGGGCTGGACTCTGGGGCTAACGTCTTTACCCCTTCATTCCTTGTGGGCCTTGCAGCAGTGAACAGTCAGCTCGAGCCAGGACCCAGAAAGAACTCATGACTGCCCTGCGGGAGCTCAAACTTCGGCTGCCACCAGAACGTCGGGGCAAGGGCCGCTCTGGAACCCTGGCCACGCTGCAGTATGCCTTGGCCTGTGTCAAGCAGGTGCAGGGTGAGTGGTGCTTCCCGGCAGGGTGTGGCCAGGCCATGGACTGTTGGAGGTACCATTCTCCTTACTGAATATGGCTCGAATACCCTTGTCCTACAGCTAACCAGGAGTATTATCAGCAGTGGAGTCTGGAGGAAGGTGAGCCTTGTGCCATGGACATGTCTACTTACACCCTGGAGGAACTGGAGCATATCACATCCGAATACACTCTTCGAAACCAGGTCAGTTGCGGCCTGGGTCCTCTGTTCTAACGCACCCTCACCCCCATTCCTGCGGCTCCTAAATCTGCTCTTGATCTTGGTCTCATCCTAGGATACCTTCTCCGTGGCCGTGTCCTTCCTGACAGGCCGGATTGTTTATATTTCGGAGCAGGCGGGTGTCCTGCTGCGTTGCAAGCGGGATGTGTTTCGGGGTGCCCGCTTCTCAGAGCTACTAGCTCCCCAGGATGTGGGTGTCTTCTATGGCTCCACTACACCATCTCGACTGCCCACCTGGGGCACCGGGACCTCTGCAGGTAAAGCGCCCTCCCTTATGCTATGCAGAAGACTGGACCATCCTAGGAAACTGCTGCTCTGAGCAGCCTGGACCCAGGCTTTCCTTTCCTGGGCTCTTCTCAGCCCGGGAGGGGATGGTGCTGTGCTGACTGTCTTCTCATCTGGTCTAGGTTCAGGCCTCAAGGACTTCACCCAGGAAAAGTCCGTCTTCTGCCGAATCAGGTAGGTAGGGGGAGTAGGAGCAGGCCTCTCTCTCCTCCTCATCCCTGCTGTCTCTGTTATATGGGCTGTGACTTTGACAAGGGGGTGGGCAGCTTTCCGCTGGAAACCTCTAATGTTCATTTTTCCCTTGCCAGAGGAGGTCCTGACCGGGATCCAGGGCCTCGGTACCAGCCATTCCGCCTAACCCCATATGTGACCAAGATTCGGGTCTCAGATGGGGCCCCTGCACAGCCATGCTGCCTACTCATTGCAGAGCGCATCCACTCTGGTTATGAAGGTGGATAGGCTAGGGCCCTGGCCTGGGGGATAATGGGAGGAAGCTTTTCCCTCTAGGGTGGGGTGAAGGTCAAGATGAGAGTCTGGGAGGCATGGGCTGGGTCCTTAGGATTTAGGACATATTATAAGGAAGAGGGGTCTTTTATAAGGCCCTGCTTGGAGGCAGAGTAGGATGAGACAGATCCCTGAGGTGCGACAGGAGAAAGAGAATATGTCAGTGATTCTCAGTGTCATCTCTGGTGTGAGTCACCAGATGACTCAGACTCTTCGTGGGCCATAAAGCCAGGTCTGAGCCGGGAGGAGGCATGCCGGGCAGCCAGACCCTAGGCAGAGAGGAGGGCTGAGGAGCTAGACCATTGTGGATGAAACCTACGTGTTTTATGCTGCAGCTCCCCGGATCCCTCCTGACAAGAGGATCTTCACTACACGGCACACACCCAGCTGCCTCTTCCAGGATGTAGATGAAAGGTAAGGTACAGACTGGGAGGAAGGTGGGTAACCAGGGCCAAGCCATGATCTGACACCTCCTCTCATTGCAGGGCGGCGCCCCTGCTGGGTTACCTGCCCCAGGATCTCCTGGGGGCTCCAGTACTCCTCTTCCTGCATCCTGAGGACCGACCTCTCATGCTGGCCATTCATAAGAAGAGTAAGTCCTCATCTTGCTCGCCTTGCTTGTCCCCAGGGTTTTTTAGCTGCCTTTGTGGTGGTGACTCTCAATGCCTTGGTCTCTTGGATATCTCTGTGTGTCTCCCTCTCCACTTTATCAGCTCGCACACCCGCTCACACCTTTTTCTTTGCGGCGCCCACAGTTCTGCAGCTGGCAGGCCAGCCCTTCGACCACTCTCCTATTCGCTTCTGTGCTCGGAACGGGGAGTATGTCACCATGGACACCAGCTGGGCCGGCTTTGTACACCCCTGGAGTCGCAAGGTGGCTTTCGTGTTGGGCCGCCATAAAGTCCGCACGTAAGTGTGCCCTGTCTCTGCGCTGGCATTGTGGACGGGGCACTCTGATAGGGCTGGGGAAGGACTGTAGTCACCCTTACCATCATCCTGCAGGGCACCCCTGAATGAGGACGTCTTCACTCCTCCAGCCCCCAGCCCGGCTCCGTCCCTGGACTCGGACATACAGGAGCTCTCAGAGCAGATCCACCGACTGCTGCTGCAGGTGAGGGTTGAGGAAGGTCGGGGACGAAGTGGTCCGTCGGTCGGGAAGCGGGATGTAGACCTCTGACTGACCCCCTCCCTCCCCCCTGCAGCCCGTGCACAGCTCCAGCCCCACGGGGCTCTGTGGAGTCGGCCCTCTGATGTCCCCCGGTCCTCTGCATAGCCCTGGCTCCTCCAGTGACAGCAATGGGGGCGATGCCGAGGGGCCTGGGCCTCCTGCTCCAGTGAGTAACCTCCTCCGTCACCTCTCTCGGTCTCTGTGGGGAATCACTGCCAGTCCCCCGTGCTACCCTGCCTAGGCCCCAGACCTTCTGATACTTGGGTCCTGGCGCTGGCCACCCCCATGCTGCCCAGTGCTCTGCTCTCCCCCAGGTGACTTTCCAGCAGATCTGTAAGGACGTCCACCTGGTCAAACACCAGGGGCAGCAGCTCTTCATCGAGTCCCGGGCCAAGCCGCCACCTCGGCCCCGCATCCTTGGTGAGCTGGTGACATCACAGAGCAGGGATGAGGAGGAGGAGGGCCTGAGGTTCCCCTTACCCTCGCTCCTAACCCATTTACCCTTTCCGTTCCTTGTCCCAGCCACAGGGACATTCAAGGCCAAAGTCGTTCCCTGCCAGTCCCCAAACCCTGAGCTGGAGGTGGTCCCTGCTTCCGACCCAGCCCCGCTAGCACTGGCCACTGAGGAGCCAGAGAGGAAAGAAGCCTCCGGCTGTTCTTCCTACCAACAGATCAACTGCCTGGACAGCATCCTCAGGTAGGGCCTGCCCAGCCCCTTCTCCCCTGCGCCCGCCTTGCCTGCCCCAGGCCCGGCCCCTAAACCCTTTGCTTCATCCATCCCCAGGTATTTGGAGAGCTGCAACATTCCCAGCACGACGAAGCGCAAATGTGCCTCCTCCTCCTCCTGCACCGCTTCCTCAGCCTCTGATGACGACAAGCAGCGGGCAGGCCCAGTTCCTGTCGGGCCCAAGAAAGGTAAAGACACAGCGCATGCCTGGTTCCCATTGCCCATCCCGTCCTGGTAGTCCCCGGCCTATACAATACACTTCTGCCTGGGGGGCTCCTACCTGCTGTTCCCGGCCCTCCTTTCCTGCCTCCTGATCTCCAGGTCCCTCCCTCTAGCCAATCCTTCCCCACGCCTCCCTGGGATCCCCTCTCCTGACCTTCCAAGGGGTAGGGTGGTAACCAGTGCCATCTCTCCGCACAGATCCGACGTCAGCAGTGCTGTCGGGGGAGGGGGCCACTCCTCGGAAGGAGCCAGTGGTGGGAGGCACCCTGAGCCCGCTCGCCCTGGCCAATAAGGCAGAGAGCGTGGTGTCCGTCACCAGTCAGTGTAGCTTCAGCTCCACCATCGTCCATGTGGGAGACAAGAAGCCCCCGGAGTCGGGTATGGGCGTGGAGTGAGGGGGGTAGTGACTGGGCCCCACTGGGTCCCCCAGACAGAGCTCTTTCCTGCCTACCTTTCTCCCCCTCCCCCTAGCGGAGAGAAGGAGGCCACCTTCTTAGCTTGGGGCCCTACTGCTCCTGACTGTCCACCCTCCTAACCTCTGCTGCTTGTCCCCCCCGCCACCCCTCCCTGTGTTCCTACTGTCAGTTCAACCGGAAAAGTGGGGTGCAAGGGGAGGGGGTCCCACACTGAGATGCTGACCACAGAGGGTCTAAAGGATTATAAAGACTCTTCAGGGTCTTTGGGCAGATCTTAAACGTGCGAAAAGCAAGAGGTGGGCTTCCTTTAGGAGATGTCACCTCAGGGATTCCTGGCAGGGTCTTGGCCGTGGGTGGAGACTGAGTATCCTCTTTTCTCCTGACACAGCTTTGCATGGGAAGAGGAGTCCATGTCTAGCTCTTGGCAGGGAGGTGGTCTTGAGTACCTGGGGTCCCAGGCCTTGGGCGGGGAGGTTGTAGGTGTGGTTGTGTTGACCTCTGAGGTGTTTCTCATCACCTTTTTCCCATCTCACCTTCCCCAGACATCATCATGATGGAGGACCTGCCTGGCCTAGCCCCTGGCCCAACCCCTAGTCCGGCCCCCAGCCCCACAGTAGCCCCTGACCCAGCCCCAGATGCTTATCGCCCAGTGGGGCTGACCAAGGCTGTGCTGTCCCTGCACACACAAAAGGAAGAGCAAGCCTTCCTCAGCCGCTTCCGAGACCTTGGCAGGCTGCGTGGACTTGACAACTCTTCTGGGGCCCCCTCAGCCCCTGGCGAGCGAGGTAGCCACCCGGGGCTTCCTTGAGCTGCCTTTTACACAGCCAGCCCAGGGCCAGATGCTGGGGGTGGTTATGTGGTGGCGAGGGAGATGTTCCTGCTCTGGGACCCAGCCTGAGGCTGTCCTCACCGCCAGAACCCTGTTTAGTTAGACCCGAGATAGCTTCTCCAGGGTTCCAGGCTGCAGCAGGCTGAGGGGCTGGCACTCAGACAAGCAGGTGGAAGTGCTCAGTTCCAGGTAAGCTGCTCTAGTCCTAGCTTGGGAACAAGGGCAAAGATGGCCCCCGCGTGGGACACAGCATCACTGGCGGCGATCCGCAGACTCCGGGCCAGTCTTGGATGGGGTTGGACTCCTAGGGCAGATGGAAAGTAGCCCCTCTAGGCACCTGCAGGAGACCTTTGCAGACAGCTGCAGGACCTAGGACTGAGGCCTGGCCTCTTCTGCCCACCACATCATCCCATTGCGAGTTAGGCAGAGCACAGCTTCAACTGGCTGGACCAGGACCCAGGCTGGCACAGCCTGAGGGATTTGGGCAGATGGACTGAAGTCACCTGCCTCTTCACCCATGGACCCACTCAGCCTCCTCTTTCTGCCAGCGTGCCTCTGTTTTGCGCACCCCAGCTTGGCCTCATGTAACCTTGCCCTTCCCTGGCTCCTTTCACAATAAACCCCTGTCCCTGGCTCCTGTGATTCTTCCCTGGAACTTCCCCTACTTTCTCTCTTCTGTTATTTTTTTTTGCGTGCAAGCTGAGCAGCCTCTTGGTCCTTTGCCCTGCTGTCCTCTTCTCCGTGTGTTAGGGCAGTGGAGGTGGCAGGCTCCTTGCTAACCCTGCTCTTTCCCCACAGGCTGCCACCATGGCCCCATGCCCCCTGGTCGCCGACACCACTGCAGATCCAAAGCAAAACGTTCTCGCCACCACCAGACCCCCCAGCCTGAACCCCCCTGCTATGTCTCCCATCCGTCACCTGTGCCCTCCTCTGGACCCTGGCCACCCCCGCCAGCCACTACCCCCTTCCCAGCAGTGGTCCAGCCCTACCCACTCCCAGTGTTCTCCCCTCGAGGAGGCCCCCAGCCTCTCCCCCCTGCCCCCACATCTGTGGCCCCTGCTACTTTCCCTTCTCCCCTGGTGACCCCAATGGTGGCCTTGGTGCTCCCTAACTATCTCTTCCCTACCCCACCTAGCTATCCGTATGGGGTATCCCAGGCCCCTGCTGAGGGGCCACCCACCCCTGCTTCCCACTCACCTTCCCCATCCCTGCCCCCACTGGCCCCCAGCCCCCCACACCGCCCAGACTCCCCACTGTTCAACTCAAGATGCAGTTCCCCACTCCAGCTCAATCTGCTGCAGCTTGAGGAATCCCCCCGCACTGAGGGGGGTGCTGCTGCGGGGGGCCCTGGAAGCAGTGCTGGGCCCCAGCCTCCCAGTGAGGAGGCTGCTGAGCCAGAGGCCAGACTGGTGAGCAACAACTCCCTCTCCCCACCCCACCCCCAGTGCCCCAGCCCTTGCCCCTCTCCTGCCTGGATGATGCTGCCTGGGCCAGTTCTCAGCTTCCCGGAGCTGGTACGGGTCGGAGGGGTCCAAGCGGAATTTCTCAATGACGCAGACGTCCTCTGGGCAGGGACAGTTCTGCCTGACGGGTGTCAGGACATCCCAGTGTCCATTTTGAGAGTGTGTCTGCCACATAGAGAGGGCCCAGTATTATGTTCCCCGCTCATAAACTGTCCCCTCCGCTTGGCCCTGTGCCGTGGAGCAAGGAGCAAAGAGCCGTCGGGTTGGGTGTGCCTCCTTTGGTTCCCCTCAACAGGAGAAGCGGTTGAAGAGGAGCCACCGTGGTGGTTCCTCACCGCCTTCCTGTCCCCCTCCACTCCCCGCCTCCTCTAGGTGGAGGTAACGGAGTCCTCCAATCAGGATGCTCTTTCAGGCTCCAGCGACCTGCTGGAGCTATTGCTACAGGAAGACTCGCGCTCTGGCACAGGCTCCGCAGCCTCGGGCTCCCTGGGCTCTGGCTTGGGCTCTGGGTCTGGTTCAGGATCCCAGGAGGGAGGCAGCACCTCGGCCAGCATTACTCGTGAGTGCTCACCCCCCAGTGCTTCGTGAGTGCTCACCCCCCAGTGCTCGTGAGTGCTCACCCCCCAGTGCTCGTGAGTGCTCACCCCCCAGTGCTCGTGAGTGCTCACCCCCCAGTGCTCGTGAGTGCTCACCCACCCCCCAGTGCTCCCCAGAGTAGGCCAGGGAAGGCCAGTGGGCTGGACATTGGCCTTAGAGGGTGGCCTGGTAAAGCCTCTCAGGGTAGATGCGTCAGCCAGCCTGGCTCCATTGGCCTTCTCCGCTCCTCCACAGGTAGCAGCCAAAGCAGCCACACGAGCAAGTACTTTGGTAGCATCGACTCTTCAGAGGCTGAGGCTGGCGCGGCTCAGGCCAGGACTGAGCCTGGGGACCAGGTCATTAAGTATGTGCTCCAGGATCCCATCTGGCTGCTCATGGCCAATGCTGACCAGCATGTCATGATGACTTACCAGGTACCCTCCAGGTGAGTTTCAGAGGCCTCATCTTTCAGAGCAGTACAGAGACTAGCCTGCCTGCACTGCCCAGATAATGTGGGGTGGATCTGCCTGGGAGGTGCCCGTCGTGGCATAAGCCCCTTGGGGTCCTACCAGTAGTTCTCAAGTTGAGAGTAGTTTCCTGGTGTTGAAATCTTACTTGCCTCGAGGAAGGCACGGAAGACAATGGGTTAAGGAATTGTGGTTGAAGATGAATGCCAGCCCCATGGGTCTTGGCCCTGGATCCTAGCCTTCACCGTCCTCACACAGGGACACAGCCTCTGTGCTGAAGCAAGACCGGGAGAGGCTCCGGGCCATGCAGAAGCAGCAGCCACGGTTCTCAGAGGACCAGCGTCGGGAACTGGGTGCCGTGCACTCCTGGGTCCGGAAGGGCCAGCTGCCTCGGGCCCTTGACGTGATGGTGAGAAAAGCCTGGGGAGCCAGGAAGAGACTCGGGTGGAAGATTCTGAGCTCAAGTATTCAAGGGGTAGAGGAGTAAAGTCTGATCTCAGTGTCTTTGGATCATTAATCCTGAAGGATGCTAATCCCATAAACTTGCTGCTGGGTGATGTAATGTTAAACCACATTACCTCACGAGTTTTTACAGAACTTCTCTGGCCCATCATACCACCCCATAGTAGTGGGGTCTCAGTAGAGCACCTCCTTAAAATTTTTTAAGGATTTATGTATATGAGTGGTTTTGTCTGCATATGTGTCTATACACCACATGTGTGCCTGGTGTCCCTGGAGGTCAGAAGAGGGTGATGTAGAACTGGAGTTAAGGATGGGTACTGGTATCTGAAGCTGAGCTGTCCAGCCCCCTCAGTAGAGGATTTTCCAACCTTGTTAGACTATAGCCACATGTGTGGACTGGTTTCTTGGGAGATATTTTGGTACTCATAGTTAGGTTAGTTAAGGTTGGGATGCTGGGCTTGTAGATTCCCAGTGAGGATCCTGCCTAACTCATATCCTGCTTTCCCCTCCAAGGCTTGTGTGGACTGTGGTAGCAGCATTCAAGATCCTGGCCATTCTGATGACCCACTCTTCTCAGAACTGGACGGATTGGGGCTGGAGCCTATGGAAGAGGGTGGAGGCGAGGGGGGTGGTGGTGGGGGTGGGGGTGGTGGTGCTGGTGGTGGTGGTGGTGAGTGTGACGGTGGTGAGGAGGCCCAGACCCAAATTGGGGCTAAGGGCCCAAGCTCTCAGGACTCTGCCATGGAGGAAGAAGAACAAGGTGGGAACTCATCCAGTCCAGCTTTACCTGCAGAAGAGAATGGCACCAGCTAGACTCCATTGGGGGCTACTTGAAGCAGTCTATGAGAGGCTCCCTTTTCGACCGTGTTAGGGTTCTTAGAACTCAAGATATGGCTGGACCAACCGATAGGAAACTGCCCCAGCTTCTCCCAGCATAGGGGGCAGGACCCCCACTACCAGCCCAGGACCCAGGCAGGAGCTGCCGCTAAGCCTCTTAGCAGAGAGTGGAAGTTTGAGCCCGATTTGGAGGAGTGTCCGTTCCCAGCCTGCTGAGGAGACAGACAGACCTTTCCTCATCCAGTTAAGATGGCTGACGAGCTGCTGAAGCGGGCTCTCCAAATCTCAGCTGAGCCTGAGTCCCAGTCGGAGGCTTGGGGCTGCACTTATTTATTGGGGGAGACAGCTCACTCTCCTACCTCATCCCAAGATGGGAGGGGGGAGCCTGGGGTCCATGTAGGACCCAGGGGTTTTGAACCCCTAGCTGCTCCAGGGTGGGGGAGGTTGGTGGACCATGGAGTCCCTGGTGCTGCCCCTCAGGTGGGACCCAGGTGTTCGCAGCTCTACCCTCTACCAATGGCATTTGTGTTTTTGATATTGTGTCTGTTATTTTTTTAATACAAAACGAAAAACCAAAAACCCAAGACTTTGTGAAATGAAGTTGGGGGTTGGGGCGAGGGGAGGTGTGGCCCTGCCACCAGCAAGATTGTAGGGGGGCTGATGAGGCTCTTCTTGTTCCCTCCACATTCCTGGCAGCAAAGGACTTGGCTAAGTCTGGCAATCTTCACCTAACAGAACTACACTCTCTACCAGTACCTTAGCTTGGCCGTCCGTCCGGAGAAGCAGAGAGGCAACATGTGGTTAGGGTCTTAGCGAGCCCCGGTCATCGGTACCGCGGCAGAAGCAAGTGGGAAGCGTAGTTCAGCTGAATTCTCCAGCTTCACGTCAACACCCCATCAGAACTAGCTCTTCAGCTGGTCACTTTAGTTCCCCAAGACACCAGTCCTTTAGCTCAGACTTGAAAGGGGACGGGAACCTGGGTGGGCTGAATCATCCGAGGTCCAGTCCAGATCGTCGGTCAAATTACAGATCCCACGCTTCCTCTCCCGTCGGTAACAGCTGATCTACTTTGAAGGAACCAGTATACTCGTTGGCGCCGTGGCTTAGCTGGTTAAAGCGCCTGTCTAGTAAACAGGAGATCCTGGGTTCAAATCCCGGCGGTGCCTGGTTTGCACAGGAAGTGGTATATTATTGCCAAATTATTGACATCTGTCCCGAAAAAATCTCTTCCTCTTACCTAGTTACTTCTTAGGCCAACTTTCTTCCTAAGCACTTGTGTTTGGAGACACGGAAGCCGCTAATCCTCGAGACTCGGCTCCTCAACGCTTATTAGGACGGGAATAGGGTGGGAACTGGTTTTATTGGGTTTTTCCCTGTGGCTCCGCGAGAAGAGAGTCCTGGGCAGACGTTGCTGCTAAGAGAAGGCTTGCACCTGGCAGTCCAGCCGCAGCGCATGCGCACAGCTGCTTTGAAAATAAATAAATAATAAACGGCGAAATCCGCTGGGGCCGAGTGCCTTGATAGGCAGCTATAGCTCCGCAGGCCCGAGGCCGCACGCGGCTGTGATGGCCGAGTGGTTAAGGCGTTGGACTCGAAATCCAATGGGGTCTCCCCGCGCAGGTTCGAATCCTGCTCACAGCGTCAGTAATTTTGGTGTTAGGTATTGCTGCCTCGGTTAGCGGAGAGTAGGTCGTTTTCCAGTTCTTTCTTCCTTTGAAGAAGCTCCCACTGGGATTTAGCCACCCGGGATCAGCTCGCTCGCGCCCCTGCGCGAAGCAAAGACCACCATGGACTCAATTTTAATTGCAAACTCCATCAAACCACGGAGTCCCACCTCCACTCCAAATCTACTCAGCCTTTTCCTCCACTTTCCGACTGTATCACCAGAAACCACGAATTACCCATTCACCTTGCCTTCAACTCTATTTTTATATTCTTGAGACTGTAATTTGATTACATTTCTCACTTCCTCTTCCTTCAAAATCTCTCATCTTCTCCTCCCTGCTCTCCTTCAGATTCATGACCTTATTTTCTAATTGTTATTGCATGCATCTAAGTGTATGTATATACATATATATTCTCAAATATAACCTGTTCCGTTTGTACAGTGCTCCCTGTATGTGTTTTCAGGGCTGACGGTCGGCACTGGACAACCAGTTGGTGCGCTCTTTCCCGGGGCGCCCCCCCCCCCCAGCTTTCCTTAGTTGTCTGTAGTTCTTTGCGCAGGGCTGAGATTCCGCTTCCTGTTTTGCTGGGAAGATAGTTTCCCATGGCCATCCACAACTGCATGCCCTTACCACCACCCTCTCCGTTCCCTGGTTACTGCAGGAGAGTGCTCACTCTGAGCTGTGGCCAACCTCCACATCTAGATTTTTTCCATCCCTCTCACCCACGGTGCTGTTTTCCATGCCCTCAAAATTTCCCTTTCTTATTGCTCCCATCAGCTTTCAGACGAGGTGATTTCATTCCGAACAGCAAAAACAGCTGCTGTGTGTCCTTGAAAAGTCTTGTGTTGGCGACTTAATGCTCAGATGGGTAATTTGATGGGAGGTAGGGCCTCGCGGACATTATTCTAACTGAAGGATGTCATAGGAGTAGAGAGCCCCCACAATGATCACAGCTTTCTAAGAAGCGACTCCAACAAGCTTGCTTATTCTGTCCCACCATATGATCCCCTCCACCAAATTCTGATGCAACAAGAAAACTCTCACTAGATATGCGGACACCACGCTCTCGGGCTTCTTAGCTTCCAGACTGCGGAGCTCAACAGGCCTCTATTCTTTCCTGGTTACTCAGACTATAGCGCTGTTGTGAGCCAACTGGAGAAAAGGCCAAAAAAACAGCACGACACTGTCTGGACTCCGTGCTCTTAGTTACCATGCCATCCCATGCTCCTCTGTGCGGCAATAAGTGATCTCACTGTCTCCGCCTTCTTACAGTCCTTTGAGCCCCTCCAACCGCGCACATACCCTTCTTACCCTCGTAGCTGCCTTTGCTAAGGTTGCAAATAACCATCACACTGCTTAATGAACAGTAGTCTGATGCCTGCCTTTAGAGAGAGCCAGCCTCTTGGCTAGCCTTCCCACCTCTAACAGCCTTCTGATGGCCCTTCTGCCTCATTCAGACTTGCCTTCTGGATCTTTAGTGTTAGAGGCGTCACAAGGCTCCATCTTCCAACCAACTCTCTTCTCTGCCTGTGCTTTTTGCTGAGGCATCTCTAGTCTAGTACTTTTAAAAGCCAGATAATATGTCGTGTTGCCTCACGTTTTCATCTCCAGATCAGGGACTGTTCCCCAAATGCTTATGTACAACTGGCCTCTTCCCCCACCTCCACTTGGCTATAGAGCAGGGGTACACTTTCCCCCCTCAAAGCTGCTTCGTCTGTAGTCTTCTCATTTTGGTCGATGAAAATTCTGTTTCTCTAGATTATTACACTTAAAACCCTTAGGATCACCCTTGGGTCTTTTTCCCCCCTAACATTCCACATTGATCAGCCTGCAATTTCTTTTTCTAATGTGCAAGGCTCAGCTAAGTGCCATTGACTATTCCATCCTAATCCAGGCTTGTCTCTCACCTGTCACCTGGATTATTGCAGTGTCTCCTAAATTACCCCCTTGGGTCCAGTCTCTTGGGACGCTGGGATTAAACCCAGGACTTCTTGCATGCTGGGGAGGCACTCTAACTAAGGTGTGCCCCTTTCCACTAACTGCCCTTCCTGTGACTACAGTTCTCTTCCAGTCTTCTCTTTTCCTGGGAGGTGGGGGTTGGGGAAGGGAGGGTTGAAACAAGGTTGCTCAGGATAGCCTCAAATTCACTATGTTTACTATGTAGCCCAGGCTGGGCTTGAAAGTCACAGTGGTCCTTCTAACTCGGCCTCCAAAGTGTTGGGATTACAGGCATGAGCTACTATCCCTTCCCATCATCTCCCCTCCCCAGCAAAGGTGATCTTCTAGTCTAAGTCTATAAACCAAAGGGGAAGGCCTGGAGGGTGGCTCACACCAGTAATGTTCCATTCTCAGGAGGTGGAGGCAGGGGGCTCTCCAGTTTGAGACAGGCTCGGGCTACATAGTGAGAGTCTTTCAAAATGCAACAAAATACTAACCAGCTAACCAACACCATGCAGGCTATAGCTCAGTAGAGTAGCACTTTGTGTGAAAATGGACCCAGGGTCCGATGCCCAGATCCCGAATAAATAAATAAATAAATAAATAAATAAATCATGAATCAGATTCCATCATTCTTCCATCCTTCCAGAGTCTTTCAGTGGGTAGTGTCAATATAAACTCATGGTTTTACTGTATGTAGAAACAGAAATCAATTATCACATAGACAATTTTCTAGCTCTTTCTCCTATGGGGACTTTTCAGCTTTGTTCTTCGTGACGGAAAGAAGCAGTCAAGAGACACAGGCATCTTGAGCAAAGTTTATTCAGCAAAGTTATCACTCCAGACACTGTGGGGAGGGGCTGCCCTAAGGCAGAGAGCAGCCCCCTGGGTTCTGTGTTGTGGATTTTAAAGAAAACGTATGAATATTTATGAGGTGAGTGGCATATTCATTGAGAAGGTCACCCCTTTTCCCTTCAAATCATGATGAGCCAATTCTTCCATGAGCCTCACAAAAAGGTCAAATCCACAAGGCATAAGCTATTCTAAGGATGTCAGCCTTTTGATGATGCAGACCCTTCTTAACTGCATCTGTGGGGCGGGCGGAAGGCTCTGCTGCCTCGGTTTCTGATGTAGTAGGAACCTAACTACACTTTCAGGGATGTCTAACCAGAGGGGCATCTGACTATCAGCAGAGGCAGGTTATCAAGATGAAGCTGCAGTTTCCTCGGTGACTTCCGGTCTCACTCCTTACCTCCCAAGCATCCTTTCCCTTGGGTGAGCCTAGAAGCAAAGACATAAAACAAACAAACAAAAACCTACATCTCAGCAATAGATGGCATTTTCTGCTAACAGGAACCAAGGCTCTTCTTGAGTAAAAGGATTATTCGCAGCTGGGGTTGAGGAGCTTTCAGATAGCTTTGGAACACTTTGTTAGGCCAGAAAGGAAGAAAGCATTCAAAGAAAAGCCGGCCTAACAGTTAAGAAGAAGACAGAGCCGGGCTGTGGTGGTGCCTACCTTTAATCCCAGCACTTGGGAGGCAGAGGCAGGCGGATCTCTGTGAGTTCGAGGCCAACCTGGGCTACAGAGTGAGTTCCAGGAAAGGTGCAAAGCCACACAGAGAAACCCTGTCTTGAAAAACCAAAGAAGAAGGAGAAGAAGAAGAGGAAGAAAACAGAGCAAGTGAGGATGAAGTACATGTGAAGAAGTTTTCCATCCCCAGCACCTCATTAAACTGGGTGAAGGTGCATGTTTTTAAATCCCACTACTTGGGGGGGGGGTAGAGGCAAGAGGATCACAAGTTCAAAGTCATTAGAGCCTACATGAGACCTTGACTCAAATAAATAAATGAATAAAATTAATTATCACTAAATATTTTGTTTGTTCTTTTTGAGTCTTGGGTTTTGCTGTCCTGGAACTTACTATGTAGATTAGGCTGGCCTTGAAGTCACAGAAATCCATCTACCTCTGCTTCC